CAGTGTGCGTGTGTGTGTGGGTGTGTGTATGTGTGTGTTGGGGGATGTGTGTGTCCATGTGTGTGCATTAATGTGTTTACTTGTGTGGCTTTTCCTTTGCTTCTTATGTTACAGCCCCACTTTATAGCTTTGCAGCTGTGGCCACAGAACAATACCCAACAAGCCCTGACTTGGGTCTGACCTCTGCATTAGAGCTCAGTGATTCCATCACCTGCACTTTGACACCTCCCACCTTTTGCCAAGCTTTAAAAAAGACCCACTGAACATAACACCAGCCTCATGACCCCAACACAGCCTGCCTGCTGATCCTATTGCAGAGCCATTCCAGGAGATCAGTGCCAGATTTGAAGGTTTTTTTCTGTCAAAAAGTTGCAGTTTTAATGCGATATTGCTGATCAAAAAAACTACACCCCCCCCCCCAGCTGTGCCATTTTATGTATTTATTTCTTGCAAAATAACACTGAGAAGCACAACCCCATCACACTGAACTTGTGACAGAGACAAATGTGACAGGTATTGTTATAGCACTCAAGTCTTGACATCATTTGTCTTGGCCTCAGGGTAAGGCGGACTCGAAAACTGTTCTCAAGACCAGCTGAGTGTGATGCCTCCATCTGAGGTAACTGGAAACTGAACTGTTTTCTGTCATTATTGAATATCAACAAAACCTTCAAACAGAATAAAACAGTCTTTTCTCTGCATGTTTAAATAAAATCTGTTCTGCTGTTTGAGAATCTAACTGATCTTTCTATGATGGCTTAACTGGCCTTTATTTGTTTGTTGATGTTTATCGGCTCCAAAACTCAAACATCTCCTGAAGGCAGATCAGAATGTTATCCTTACTATGTTTTCATTTGATCATAAAATGGATGTTTGTTGTTTGTTTTATGTTCTGTTTACTTTAGATGGTGATTCTGAATGTTTCACAAAAGAAGGAACAGAGAAGAACCACCACCATTTGGTCCTAAAAGTTACAATGCAAAGTTAGACTGAGACTGTAATACAATAATAATTAATAGTTTACATTATTTAAAGCTATATTTTACAAAATATATTATGAAGTATTAGATTATTTATTACTATATCATGTATAATGAATGATACAAGATGTTTTTTTTTCTTCTTTTCATTTTTGTATTCTGAAAAAAATCAGCCTTGACCTCAACAAAGTCTTGGTCTTGACTCAGACTCACCTCTAACTGTCTTGACCACAACAGTAGTGACAGGGTGGAAGATTTCATTCAACACTGCCAGCCACGGTCCATGCTAGGGTAAAAGTTAAACCATCTAATGTTAGCTTTTCAGCTGTAAATTACACACGTTTACTGTGAATTTTGAAAAAAAAAAGTGATTGGTTTTTGGTCTAACAGGGTGGACATGTTATGCTAGATGGACCCCAATAAAGATGGAACAAAAAGCAAAACGCTAACACGTTACTTAAACCCTGCTACACGACATCAACGTAACCAATACAGAAACATAGCACATCAGATGACATAGAGTTGTAAACAATATCATGTTATTATTATCAGTAATTGTCATTAGAGACAGCATAATGTTTGATGCCTAACAGGAGTACACTTATTAATTAGCATGTGTCATAAGCTGTCATAACATCAAATATTATGGCATTATTGTCACAACAGTTACCAGAAATATCACAAGTGGTCAGTGTAGGGTTCTCCTTTAGCAGCCAGTCAGCAGCCTGTCTATGTTGTCCACCCTCACACACACACACACACACACACACACACACACACACTCACACACACACATACACACACAGACACACACACACTAACAGCAGGCCATGTAGGAGGAGAACAGAGTGAAGGACACAGCACCTCCACACTTTTATTCCCCGCAGGTTCACCCAACACCACATGTGTAATATAAATGTATAGGGGTGAACAGAGTGAAGACACTGAAAATGGGTTATTTTATAAGTTCTTCACAGAAAATTAGCAAAGGTCAAGAAATCTGAGGTTGAAATAATAATTAATCACATCATTTTTTATTTTGGTTAACATTTAAATGGGTCCCACAGACCCCAACACCACACAAGGGTTAATGTAAGTAATGTATCAACAGAACATCTACAAGATATTTACTTCAATGTATTCAGATGCTTCACTGCTGCTACTCCACTGGTTGTTGATGTGTTACTGATAATCTGTTAAGAGTTTATTAATCATCTACAAAGCACCACTCTGAATAAAGTGTTACCAGAGATACTTGTTTTGTTTGTTTGTTTGTTTGGTTGGTTGGTTGGTTGTTTTTTCAGACAGTGATGGTATTAATATGGTATCTGCCATGACATCTTCATGGCATGGTAAAGTCAGTGTTTCCAGCAAAACCTGCCAGCTTTTGAGGTTCCTCTGAAGCATTAAATGATTTCACTCTTCATCATATCACACATCAAGGGCTCAGATAAATTTTTAAATTTTGCTAAAAATGTATATACATTGATAAATATAGCACCCTGTGATGGACTGGTGAAGTGATGGAGTGTGTGAAGATGAAGATAAATATAGTGTCAGTGGGGAAGCAGATACATATTTGGGCACTGCAAAGGTTTGACGTAAAACTTTTAAGTGTAGATAGATCTTCATTGGCCATCTGTACAAACACAAAAATGCTTGTGTTCTTAAAAATGATGAAAACCCACCATTTTAATTGCAAAATGTCAATGTAAAGTCAATAACTAGTTTTGAATTAAGCATATCTGTCTGTCTATCTATCTATCTATCTATCTACTCTACAGAAATATGTTCAGCTCATTTATGCTCAAGCATTCTTCTAAAATGACAGCAGAGGGCAGTGCAGCCTCACATTTGCTCTGTCTGGACCACAACCTTGGTTGACCTGCGGTGGGTGTAGAATTTGACAGTGGCCTGCTGTATTGTGTATAAAAGAAAGGAATGTTGAAAGGTTTTTAGGGGTGTAAACAAACTGCCCCGGGGCAGATAATGTGATCTGTCAGTCAGTGCTGAGGACTAAAGTCTACTGCAGACTCCAGAGCTGGTGAATTATTACCTGCTGGTGGCTGGTGCTGCTGGTTTTGCAGCTGTAAGAAATAGTAGTAGTTAATCTCGACTTTACACAAGATTGCATGCTGCAATATTTTCCCTCTTTCTACCTGTCCTGGGTCGATTTCTTTGTATTAGTGTCAAGTCTTGGTTTTACACAAAAGCTTAGTTATCAACAATTCTCCGGGCCTTTAGGGTTCCATGCATTACGTTTCTTATCTTATCTTACCACATCTGGATTGTTGCTGAAGTATCTTTCAATATATGTTTGTATTAGCAGACACCTGCTTATCCAGCGTTTCTTCTGAAATCAACAGTATCAATAGGGAGTTTGTCCCCCTTGGCTGCAGTAACAGCCTCATTCTGTTCTGTGAAGACTTCACACTAGATGTAAGAACATTGCTTTGAGGATTTGACTGCATACTGCCACTAGAGCATTAGTGAGGTCAGCTACTGATTTTGGATGATTAGTTCTGGATTAAAAATGCCTCCTAAAGGTAAAGGCATCCACCACCTCAGAGAACGTTGTTCCACTGCTCCACAGCACAATGCTGGGGGGCTTTATACCCCTTATGCTGACGCTTGGCTTTGGGCATGATGCCACTGCTACATACTTACAGATACATCCATACAGATGCTAAAAAGCAAGTTAATTGATGCTAATTCAGTGGTTGGGTGGAGGTCATCAAGAGTGGTTAGATGTAAAATCGTGCACTATAGACAAATTTGCCAACTCAGATTTTTGACAGTGAAGTTGACATCAAAAAAATGCGCTGCATTTATCTCACCATTAAAATGCGCTGCATTTATCTCACCATTAATGTATGTATATTTTTCTAAAAAAATGTTTAAATATTTTTAAAAATATTTAAAATAGCAGGTAGCGCTGTTACCTTACAGCAAGAAGGGTCTGGGTTCGATTCCCCGGCCAGGTGACCAGGGTCCTTTCTGTGTGGAGTTTGCATGTTTTCCCCGTGTCTAAGTGGGTTCCCTCCCTCAGTTCAAAGACGTGCAGTCGGGTGAATTGGTAGATACTAAACTGCACCTAGGTGTGAATGTATTTGGTTTAAAAAACCTGAAAAATATTACAAAACAATGTCTGAGGCATCAGGCATCATATACGTAAGCATTTCATGTAATAACTTTCTATATGGGAGCTTATAGGGGCATTAAACTTATCAGACGTCTGGTTCCTATCACCACCACTGTGAACAATTCTGACATTTCACATCAAACCAATCTGAATGACTTTATTTACAGCTTAGCATGTGAATTACGCAGAAATTTTGAAAACCAGTGAAATTCCCCTTTTGGGCATACACAGTAGCTTTATTTAGTGCGTGGCCAAGTATTTAGCTCTTTGTGGGGACCAAGTTTGCCCAAGCTGATAGAAAACACAAATACTTTGATGTTGTGGGGACATTTGTCTGGTCCCTATAAGCAAAACTGTTGTTTAACACACACACACACACACACACACACACACACACACGCACACACAGACTTCCGTTTTGAGGTTAAAGTCAGGGTTGAGTAAGGTGGAGCACAGCTAGTGCTTCACAGAGATAAAGTCACTCTTAAAAACATGGTTCTTCAAGGGTTCTTTGGTAAAACCAATGGTTATATAGAACCCTGAGCACTCACAGAACCATTTGCATGGTGAAATGGTTCCTCAGATTGATGTAAAATGAGATGTACATAGTTCTAAATAGAACCTTTTTGAAAATGGTTCTATATAGCACAAAAAGGGTTCATCTATTGTTATGATGTCACGTTTGTAACAATAGCAGAACCCTTGAAGGGCCATCTTTTCTAAGGGTGAAATACAAACTTGTGTGCGCGCGCGTGCGCGAGCGCCCGCGGTGAGGTGAGGCGCGTGAGCCCCCTCTGTTTGAACTTTGACTAATATGTACTTCTCTCTGCCTTACAGAGTGCAGCCCGGTTGCAGCCGGCGAATAAAGCGTCCAGTTTTCGGTCACTAATCGATTTTTTCTCAGACATGTGACCGAATTAGCCGCTCACATGGGCTTTGTATGATCCGCTCTTGCTTTTTAAAGTCCGCCGATCAAGCGCGCTGTGTGACAAACAGCCGAGGCGGAGAGCCGTGAGCACACACACACACACACACACACACACACACACACACACATATACACACAGAGACATACACACTCTCACACACATGGCGAGCGGAGGGCAGAAAGTGGTGCTGATCACCGGCTGTTCCTCAGGCATTGGGCTGCGAATAGCCGTCCTACTGGCCAAAGACGAGAAGAGGCGTTACCATGGTAAACAAACTCTCTTTACTACGCTAACCGTCCTCCTGAGGTAAGAAGTCTGTCAGAGTTTGTGGACGTCGCTATTTCTGACCAGAAAAATACATTCTGGTAGTCTTAATGGCTTTTGTGACTAAAAACGCAGTCAGCCTTCACGTTTAAGCCTCGAAGTGTCATTAAGTTGAAGTCAGCTTCTTATTCGCCTGCTGCCAGTTCGAATTTTCCCGTTCCACCTTAAATAGTGCAGCAGTTACATTCTGGTGCCTGATAACTGGCGATTGGTGAGCCAGAATGTAACTACTGTACCACTTAAGGTGGAACGGGAAATTCGAATAAGAAGCTGACTCAGCCGCCAGAACGTAACTGCTGCAATATTTAAGGTGGAACGGGACAATTCGAATAAGAAGCTGACTCAGCCGCCAGAATGCAACTGTTGCACCATTTAAGGTGGAACGAGAAAATTCGAACAAGAAGCTGACTCTGCCGCCAAGATGTAATTGCTTTACAGTTTAAGGTGGAACGGGAAAATTTCAATAAGAAGCTGACTCAGGTGCCAGAATGTAACTGCTGCATCATTTAAGGTGGAACGGGACAGTTCGAACAAGAAGCTAGTGAATAGGCAGCCTCTTCAAAGGGCCGAAGTGAGTGTTCGCTGTAGCGCCTCATAGCCTAGCCTCCATTCAGCTAACTTAGCTATTTACCATGTGAAAGCTTCAGTTTCTAGGGGACGGCCAAGCGGCTTGCCAGGCGGAGATCATAAAGACACTGCCAGTTCTCTTTCAAGTGACTTCTCCAGGACAAAGCAGCCTTTATGGCTGTGAATTGTAGACCGCTGCCCCGGTTTAGTGGCGTGTCTAATGCGCCCATGGTTCGCCCACTGAAGTGAGTGTTGGGAGAAGGACAAAGTTGGAGACCTGTACAAGAAAGAGTTCACTCAGAGCTCTGAGCTCGCCCTGAGGAAGACTGTTATCTTCCCAACATCATCTACAGTCTCATTAATCTTATTCAAATGCATTCATTGTTCATATTTTTTTGCCTTTGAGGGATCTATTTTTTTTAAATGGAGGTAAAGCGTAGCAGCTTGTCTTCGCATATACTGTAGCACCCTTGAAAGAAGAAAAAGAACTCCTTGTTGAACTATGACCCATTTCTGAGAGCATTGCAACATAGCAGAGCCTTTTTTGGTTGCTGTTCTGAAAAGAGGAGAAAATCCGTGGTGATTTAACGTTGGACTTGGTCATAATGAGGAGTGGTGACTTATGCCAGCTTAAAAAAAAGTAAAAGGATCCCAGGGAGAGCGGTCCATTCAGCAGTGTTTAAGCTCCTCAAATCTTATTCCACAATAACAGCAGGAACAATGAAACGGTTGTTCCCTGCAACACATAAAGGCTTGGCCTGGTTTGTGTGCTCAGGCCGAGCCATGTGTCTGAAGAGTTTGCGTACTCTCACTTTCAGGTACAGCAGATCCTCTTCACTAGTCACTGATGAGGATGCAGTTCACGTTCGTAATAGTTCAAAAGCAGCTCTCAGTCAGCTCAAGATGGGTTATGCAAGAGATCCGAAGCTTCGTACATTGAAAAGCATTTCCATCTGGTTCTGGTATTCTAAAGCAGGCGGAATCGAGCAAATGCACAAATACAAGCACAGATTGGATGCAGTTCTGTGGTGTGCAACTGATGGAAAAGTGCTTAATCATGTCAAGGCAGTTAGTTAAAACTATCCGTGACATACTTCTCCTGTAATATTTGAGTTAGCACCTTGCCAGGGACTAAACTGACCGCTAAGTCAAAGACAAAATTATTCCATAGATACTAGGGTTGGAAAAATGATTCATTCTTAAATACATCACTTTTTTTTTTTGAGAAATTCTGAATCTATTATGATTTTTACATAGGCTCTGCATTTCTCCTACAGTAAAATAACATGCACCCACAGACATTATCAGCCTGTTTACATCTTGCGTCAACATGTGTTTTATTTCTGGATCATATCTGAATAAAGTTTGGCCAGATTCTGTTTACACTTTTCACTAAAATGTGTTTTCGATTTGACCAAATGAGATCTGATCGTAGTTTCCCGGCGTAAAAATGCATGTCAGGACATACGTTGTTTCTGTTTCACTTTTGTTTACCCTTTTTCCCTGTTACTACCAGAATGGACAAGCTTGGCCTGAACACTTTCATCATTCTGCTGTGCATGAAGGCTCTTGAGCTACGTTCACAGTACAAGCCTCATTGCTAAAATCCGATTTTTTGCTCAAATCCGATCTCTCTGACACGATGGTTCACACTCGTTTAGGTAAGTGATTCAAATCGGTCATTAATGTGAGCGTCCCAAAATGACCCGCATGTGCACATCCTACTCAGTAACGTCACGTGAATGAATCACGTGCATCATCATCAAACAAACTAACGAGCAGAACGAGCTTCGCTGTGAAGATAATTAACTCTGATCAGCTCTCTCAAATCACATTGAATTATGCTTAGAGGTTCCCACTCCTTGACTGGGTTGCACCAGGTTTGCGCAAGTTTATACTTGAGTTTGGGCGTAAAGTCTTTACTAAGTCCTTAGTTACACTAGTTAGTTTCAAACTATCCTTTTACTAAATTTGTAAGTCAAGTCTTAACTACTAACAACTAACTAATGCGTACATCACTTGAACATGACGATAACATGTTCAGAACCAATCAGTAAACTTCCTGCCATGGAAGCACTCCATTTTCAATGTAAAAAATGTCCAGCAGTGAAGAGAACGATGTGTACTTAAACTGAATGAAGCCAGTTATCTACAAACACTGCCTGTTTATTGTTTAATATTTCCCTGAGAAAACCAAACATGCAGCTTTTTAAATTATGGTTTCTGGTTAACTGACACAACTGCAGCCTCAGTTTAGCCATTTGTGCAGAGTTTAAACCAGGCTGATGATTAGAGAAAATCACAGCATATAGTTGTAACAACTTTAACGATGGGTGGAGGAAAGACGCCGAGGGCAGGTGTGAAGACGGAGAGCTTTCTTTTATTCTTATTTATACACAACGCAAAACACTCGGCTTTTCAGCCCACAAAGTAAGACAAGACGCTCACTGGGACTTTTCAGTCCTTTCTTTTCTTTTCTTTCTTTCTGGTTTAGCTCAGTTCAGTTCAGCTCAGCTCAGCTCTCATGCCTTCATAGGTCTCCTTTCTCTGAGTTCTGCCACCTACTGAAGCAAGAGATGGCTGTAAGTAGGCTGGCAGAAACAAGGCACAGGTGAACATAATCAGCTACTTAGCCTGCTGGTGCAGCCAGACCGGCTTCTCCGTCCTGCATCCGACAATCGGCCACGCCCCCTTCTCCACAATAGTGTTTAGAGTTTTTACCTTAGTTACCCAAAAAAGTCATGTTTTTGGTCTTTTTTGTGCTTTCTATGTGGTTTCTGATGGTTTCCCCAAAACTTACACCTGCTGTGGGGGTGTAAATATTTAGTAACTACTAAGCTTAACGTTAAAACTAGTTTGTTTGGGGCAACCCGTTCTGATTTAGTGATGCATAAACCTTAGTAAAACGTAGTAAACACTTACGTTACAACTGGTTAATACTAATAGAGGTTGGTGAAGTAGCCTAAACCTGTACTTTCATAAAAGTATTGATGCTTTGATGAAATAAAGACTCAGTGAGGAGTAAAGGTACCTCTCCAAAAAGCTTCAGTAAAAGTAAATTCATTAAGTCATTACATTCTGACTCACAGAGCTGCAGTGGAATGTAGCCTGATTTAGGTTAATGTCTAAAAAAGGTTCAAAGTGCAAAAGGGAATCAAGGCTTATCCCTTCAGCTCGTCTGTTTATCATACAGCCTGAATGTAATTAGCATTGTTTGCATTTTGTACTCCGAGTATGTGTGTGAGGTGTATATGTGTGTGAGATAAACAGATACAGAGGACCAAGTGCAATCAGTTTGCTGTACAATTTTTTGCTCAATTTTGAAGGAGCTTGTTGGAGCTTGTTACAGACGCAGAGAACCTAAATCTGTGTTTTCTTTTTAATTAGGTTAAAATTGTTCTTGCAGTAAACATGTGCTAAGTATACCCTTTGAATAAATAATCAATAAATGGCCGATATATTTCACCATATTTCTCTTGTCTCAATGTAACCCGGGCAGGCCTAATCTTGGGTGATACTTCCATAAGCATTCCACTGACCAATCACAAGGCTGACGTCTCTTGCCCCGCCCACACAAAACAGTTTCAGAGTCAGAGAAGCTTAGCTAGCTAAAGTAAGCAAAAGTAAGCAAGCTAGACCACCCGTCTGTAGCTGCCTGCCGCCCGTTCATTCATTTATCCAGACATGACATCCTTTGCTTGTCTGTTCCTTCATTCATGAGTTGCTTCGTCCGTCCATTTCTTTGTCCTTCCGTCTGCACATCTGTTCGTCCTTCCGTTTGTTCATTCGTCCATCCGTCCATTTGCACGTCTGTTCGTCCGTGACTTTATTCGTTCACTTACTGTCACATAAAAGCTGGATAATGATATTAGTTCTGTATGAGAGGCGGGGCAGACTAGGCATGTTGAACAGAGAGCTGTCAATCAAGCTGTCTGCACAGTTCTCAAGCTGTGTTTTATCATGTTTATATCTTTTTTTTTTTTTTAATAAAAACTTTGCAGGATGTTTAATATAACAATCAAGTTTAGTATCATACAAAGATTTTTAATGTTTTACTCTGTGTTCTGTAGGACTTTAAAGGACGAGTCCAGTGTTCAGCTGTATCTCTATTTGCCACATCCGTAGCATACAGTTGAAGACCACAGACAGTCATTTCTTAGAGATGAACAGAAAGCCCATTGACTGAAAACACTTACAATAGCAGCCAATGAGAAAGTGTTTCATAACTTCCCATTGGCATTTAATATGCAGTACTGTAAGTCATCTAAAATGGCTTTATTATTTCTAAGGAAATTAGATAAAAGATAATCCACTTGTATAAGGAAGAGGAAAAATAAATGAAAAATAAATAAGAAGATAAAATGCAAAGAAAATGTGACTCCTAACAATCATGCAAGACCTGGTAGACACCAGAACTGTCCCCGTCAATTAAATAGCACTTAAAGCTTTCATCTTTGAGAGAGAGGAGAAAATCAAGCTGCTTCAGATCAGAAAACATCCACAGGTGTTTCTGTCCACCCTTCCACTGTGAGAAGACAACTCAGCACTAATAGTCTGAAAGGATGTGTAACTGTCAAGAAGCTCTTACTGAGAAAAGGAAATTTTGCAACTAAAACAAAGGAGCTACTGGTGTTCTCTGATGGACTGACCACACCAGAGTCCAGACCTCAACATCAGTGAGTGTGTTTGGGATTACTTTGATCATGAGAAGCAGAAAATGCAACCAACTTCTAAGACCGAACTTCGGGGATGTGGAAAATCAAGCTCTTAAAAATTCCACAGATGTTTCTGTCCATCCTTCCACCACAACTCAACACTGAGAGTCTGAAAGAATGTGTAACTGGCAAAAAGCCAAAATAGACAAAACAAAAGAATTTTTTTTCACTAAAACACTAAAGCTGGACAATTAAAATGTTAAGTATGGTTTTATAGACTGAGGAGTCTAAATTTGTGGGGGTTATTTAGATCATGAGAAACACGAAAGGCAACCAAGTTCTAAGACTGAACTTTGAAGGTGAGAAAAAATATCCCCGATTTCTTTGAAAAATTCCCAAAAAGAATGGAAGGTACACTAAAAGTAAAGGGTGGACACACTAAATACTGAAAAATTTGATATAATATTTAGTTGTTGAAGCTTCTGTGCCATTCTCTGTTTTACAGATGCAAATGAAAATAAATGACAGTGTAGTCTTTGACTTTACTATAGCACAGTACCGTAAGTGTGTTTTGAGTCAACAAGTTTTCTGCACTTCTTGTACAAGGAATGTGCCAAAATTACTGTCTGGTAATTGAGCATATTACATTATTTGTGTTACTTGTTTAATAAACTCATTATTATTTCATCTTCATTCGCTGAAATGGCTGTGTTACTGTGTCCTTGCCAAATTGTTTTTTTGTCCTTCACATTCTCATTTTGCCTCTCCTCTCTCCCTCTTTCAGTCATAGCCACCATGCGGGACCTGAAGAAGAAGGATAAGCTGGTTGAAGCAGCGGGAGATGCCTTTGGGAAAACCCTTACGCTGGAAGCTCTGGATGTTTGCAGCGATGACTCAGTTAGGCAGTGTATCAACAGTGTCAAAGACCGCCACATTGACATCCTCAGTGAGTCATGCGTGTGCTGAGTGAGCGCCAGGTGCCCTTTGGCCTCATAAGTAATGCTTTAGGGCTAGAGTACATAAACAAGCCTGCTTTGTTACAGTAGAGGCCTCTCAAGTTGTTATGGGTTGCTGTACATTCTAAAACATGAGACACATTCAGGCATGAAAAGGCAGGCAAAACCTGGGGGAGGGATGGATTGATTGGATGTGAGTGGCTTAGAGGGTAATGGAGGCTTATATTTGTTATTTATACAACAGTTAGTTCCGGCCACGCAAGCTGATATTTCGCCATAACATCACGGTTTTTTCACTTAACACTGTATCACTCCGCTGAGACACCGTTGCTAAGCAAAGACTTTGACAGCTGTAGGAGATGCTCAAGACATTTGAACGTTTTTACTTCTTACTTTGCCACAAACAGAAAATGGATACTTTTAAGATCACATTTGACCGACAGCCGATTTGGTCAGACTCTGAAGATGAGACTACACTAAATTCCCAAACTGTCATCACCTCTGAGCAGCTTTTCAGTCGGCAGCTGTGACAGAAGAACAGCTAAACAACCTGGAATCAGCCAGAAATGAACCAAATACCATTCGCCAAACAAAATGGGCTGTAAGATGTTAATATTGATCTAGCAAAAATGGACAAAACTGAGCTACACTTGATTTTGCAGCAGTTTTGTGGCTCAGTCTGATTTGGTCAGACTCTGAAGACGAGACTACACGTTTGGTCAATGGTATTTGGTTCATTTCTGGCTATTTCCAGGTTGTTTAGGTGTTCTTCTGTCACAGCTGCTGACTGAAAAGCTTGCTCAGTTGTAATGACAGTTTGGGAATTTAGTGTAAGGAGCTGGAGAACGAACTGCCGGCTGTGCAGCGAGTGAGCGGAGCTCGTTACTCTGACGCAGCAACAAGCTGATTGTTAAGGAACTATAATTTGCCAGAACTGCTAACATTAAAACATATTAAGTGCCACGTTCACGACCCAGTTTATTTATTTAACTGTTGTATAAAAGCAATAGAACACTCGAGGTCTTGTGTTATCACTATAACATCACGGCTGTGATGATCTACGGTGACCAAATCACAGCCGTGATGTTATTTTGCCATAACACACTCCCTCTCGTGTTCTGTTGCTTAAAAATCACATTAACGTTATGGCCACGCATGCATATGGTCAGCCGCATTGTTTCTAAAACAGTATGACAACTGATATCTACAAAAGGGACAAAAGTACAGACAAAAAAAGTACAAAATTTAATTTTCAGGTTGGCTGCTACTGCTGTTTTCAGCTATGCGTATTCTTTTCTCAGAAACCACACAAGCAAGTCTATTGAAGATTACTTATCAACGGATTACTTAACGCAGTTTGAGGCAAGTTCGTGAGGATTTAGGCATGTGGTTTACACTATACTAATTGGTGGGGTATAAGCTTCCATTACTTGCAGACTTGTAGTTCCAGTACAAAACCAAAAAAGTAAACTTCAGACACCAAACATGTCTTCACAGACTGATCATATTTTAGGTAATGAGTAAATTAGATTTTTTTAAACTATAATGCGAAGGTATGCAGACGGTTCCTTTAATCCTTCAGTTTTAAGCATTTGAGAAACCTTTTAGACTTTTATGATCTCCATGATTCCCTCTGATTCTGCCTCTAGTAAACAACGCTGGAGTGGGTCTGCTGGGACCACTGGAGAGCATCAGCATGGAGCAGATGAAGAGGGTGTTTGAGACCAACTTTTTTGGCACCGTCCGCATGATCAAAGAGGTCATGCCCGACATGAAGAAACGCAGGGCGGGCCACATCATTGTCATGAGCAGCGTCATGGGCATGCAGGGTAGGACAGGTTCTGCCTGGTTCATTTGGAGACACTGGAGACAAATTGTTTTGCTTTGTTGGGTTCAACACCAGGTGGCATTAGTACCCCTGCTGAGAATCTTTAGTGTCATTATCGTGAATACACCACAAAAAGCAACAATAACATTGTACGAATAAAATTATAACGTTTTCAAGAGACAGCAGACAGTAACATGTCTACTGAAAGGGAGTTCTTGTGATTTTTCAAAAATATCTACATGGTAAATTGATATAATGTAATAAGATGTAAACAGATGTGGAATTTGTTGTTCAAGAGAAACTTACAGGATTGTTCACAGTGGTGGTGATAGGAACCAGATGTCTGAAGTGATTAATGCCTCTAAAAGCTCCAAATATGTTGCTCTCAATAGTTTATATATATATATATATATATATATATATATATATATATATATATACACATACACACACACACATATATATATATATATATATATATATAGGGATCTTTCCCCCAGTTTTCTCCCTAACTCTCTTGGATTCCCAGTCATGAATGTAAAACATATTTTTTAATCCATATGGTGGAGATGGTGGAGAGGTACATGCATGTTGTAAGGCAACATGCCTAACTTATTTATTTTAAATATTAAATATAAAAGCTCAGAAGACATGCATAGGTTTACTGATCATTTTGTATAGTAAATAAAATGACTGTTTGCACTGTAGACATCATGACCCCTGGTTCCTATCACCAGCACTGTAAAGAAATCAGTGTTGATACATTTCTCTACAGCAAAACCTTTCACATCAGACCACTCTGAATGACTTTGTTTACATCTTAACCATGGAATTAAGAAGAAATTCAGAAAAAATGGTGGAATTCTCCATTAAATTAGAGTACCTTAAACCAGTGGAAAACTCTAGGATAATTCCTTTGGTCACACCAGATGCCAGTAAATGCAGTATATGCAGTGTTGTTGGCAAATTAACTTACATGTAGAATATTTTTCAAACCTGCTTCCGTATTTCTGGCCTGTCATATATGCTTCAAAAAGCTGTCCAGTTTAAGGGGGGAATATATATTTTTATTATATTGTGTATCTGTGTGTGAAATGTCTGCAGGAGTGGTGTTTAATGACGTCTACACAGCCTCCAAGTTTGCCATCGAGGGCTTCTGTGAAAGCATGGCAGTGCAGCTGCTCAAGTTTAATGTGAAGTCTGTACTCTCTTTCTTCACAGAAGTGTTTTGCTAATGTCTAAGTGGATCTAAATGGATTACATAAAGTGCCATCTTCACATCCCATCTCTCCCTTCAGGCTGTCTTTGATTGAGCCAGGGCCTGTGCACACAGAGTTTGAGTCGAAAATGATGGACGATGTAGCCAAGATGGAGTTTCCCGGAACAGACCCAGACACTGTCAGATACTTCAAGGATGTCTACATGCCGTCTTCCATCGATATCTTCGAGGCAATGGGGCAGATGCCAGAAGATATAGCTAAAGTGAGCAAAGACTTCTGGTCTTAAAGCAGTAACTCATGGTCTTAATGTTCACAGTTTGATTGCAGTTTAGAAGCTTAAATAACTTTAAAGGAGCAGTCAAGCAAAACAAAATCTTTACATAATGTTCCCCCAATTCCAATGTAGTCAACCATAGGCAAGTTTGGTGTTCTAAACGAAAGAAGCAGATTCAGACACCAAACATGCCTGATCAGTTACACCTCAGGGAAAGAGAGAGCTGTGCAGAAGTATTGAAGTTATTTTTTAGCTTCATGTATTTAATACGTGCAAAGTCAGTCAGTTTTTTCAAGTACAGGTCATTGATTTTTTCTATATCTAACAAAACCTCGAATCTCCATTTTTTGTAATTTTTCAGGCTCATAATTACTTGGAAAAACGTATGGTTACATTTACTCACATTAAAAGTAATGTTTTTCTCTCCTGTAAAGTTATCATTTTGCAGATACAAGGTTTTGTTCCAACAACCGTAGTGATATATATCAAATTTTCAAAATTTTCTATATTTAGTGTGTCCATTGTTCATTACAGTTTCCATTCTTTTAGAACGGATCACTTGCTTTCAGTTTTCCAAATAAATCTGCAGGGATATTTTTCCGCACCTCCAAAGTTCAGTCTTAGAAGTTGGTTGCATTTTCTGCTTCTCACAATTCAAGTATTCCCAAACACATTCAGTGATGTTGAGGTCTGGACCTTTAGGTGGACAGTCCGTTGTTCTGAGAACACCAGCAGGTTTTTTGTTTGGTTTACAATTTTTCTACTTTTTTGTCCATTTCTTTTTCCCAGTAACAGCTTCTTGTTAGATATACATTCTTTCAGACCCATAGCTTTGATAGCAGAGCTTCATTTTCTCCAATCTGTCAAAGCTGAAAGCCTTTTGTAGTGTTTAGCTGATGGGTACAGTTTTGGTGGCCTGCCACGTTTTACACAGTTGTTAAGAGTCTCATTTTCAGTAAATCTTCTTAGAAATATATCCTGAAAAATGAATAACTTAAACTTAAAGGTGTCGTTGGCTGTGGTTGGTATAATGTAGTGGGTAACACCTCTGCCTTCTATGCTGTAGACAGGGGTTTAATCTCCCACCTGGGCAAGCACCCTACACTATACCAATAAGAGTCCTTGGGCAAGACTCCTAACACTACCTTCACCTACCTGTGTAAAAATGATTAAATTGTAAGTCACTCTGAATAAGAGCGTCTGCCAAATGCCGTAAATGTTTGACTGGAAATTAAATAAATGAAGGGTGGTATCTGACATACTATATTGTTTTTTTAACATCCCTTTTCCCCTCCAGTGCACTAAGAAGGTGATCGAGTCGAGCAGCCCTCGGTTCAGGAACCTCACCAACAGCCTGTACACACCCATCGTGGCCATGAAGTACGCGGACGAGACTGGCGGTCTGTCTGTACACACCTTCTACAACCTGCTGTTCAATTTCGGCTCCCTGATGCACATCACCATGAGCATCCTCAAATGCCTGACCTGCAGTTGCCTGCGCAGACGCACCATCTCACCCGACTGAAGGGGGCAGCAGTGAGACAAAGACAGAATCATACCATATACCCCAGAATGTCCAGATTAACGTATGGGCCTTGATGAACAGAGCGGCACACGTGAACACATTCAAATATGTATTCATGTATCCAGGGGTTCCTCAGACGATGCCTTAGAACAGTGGCTTCAGTTCTAAGTTCCCAGCCCCATAGACTTTTCTGTTTTCTCTGCTCTGACACACCTGATCTAACTTATCAACTAATAATCAAGCCATTTGCGAATCAGGCAGGTTGGTACAGAGTAATGATGCACTCTAGGTGGGACACAAGATTAGAGCGGGGCAATGTCACCTTAAAGAAATAGGTTACTGCCATAGCAGAAAGTGTTAAAGAAGAGTGGGTCAGTAGTAAATTATTGCGTTATTTATGATGACCGAGACACAGGAATGCAGTCTGGAATCTGGAAATGTAACAGGAGGAAAACAGACAGTCTGAAAAAGCTAATCTAACATATAAGATTAAATCTCAATACTTACTGCCTGTAATTATCGGCCTACGCTAATGATTTCGGTGAATTCTATTGTGAAGCTCTCTTAAAGCTTTTCTTGATATTTTGCCATTTCTGAATTATTATTCTCTGCCTACGCTGTGCATTTTTAAATTAATGTGAATATCTAGGTTATAATGTGATCTCCTTCTAAAGGAGACTTGATTTTAAAATAAAACATTGCGATTTGACAAGACAGATTGTGATTTCACGATGAATGAAGTTTAACCACCTTTTACACCAACGTCCTACTGTGTGGCTCTACTGCTGACGTTCTTTTCCAGTTGTGGTGATTATACACCATGGATTGGAGTCGTGCTTTCTTTCACAGATATAGAATGAACTTCAGACGAACAGCAGAGGGCAGCAGAGCATTTTCTGCCTCCATTTTCGCACTGTGAAGGAATTTGACTTTCCAACCTGAAATAGATTTCTCTGCAAGAACTTGGGTTCATAATGTTAAGGATTAAGGCTGGAGGTCTGTTTTTTTTTTGTCTTTTATTCACTTTTTTTTTTTGAAAAGTCTTAACATCTCATTAAAATGGAGAATAAGCTGAAATGTCACAGAGAAATAGGAAATCAGTGGAGCATCATAGCAATTATTGGATGTTCTTGGAGCATATAAGGGCCTCTATCACCTCTCTGTAGTTGTTTGGATGGGAAGAAGTAAAGGACAAAGCGAGGGAGAAAGAATGTGTGCAAGGAAGTCTGCACATCCATGGAGATGTAAAGGAATGAGATTCCTGTAGACTCCCTTTTAAGGCCATGGATGTGAGGCAGAGGATCCAGAGACAGATGCCATGAAGGTAGATCGACCATGACTCCAGAAGACCCTCCTGTCTTTTTCAACGCTACACATTTGTCTGTCTGACAGACTGACAGAGAGTAAGTGAAAGAGAGAGAGAGAGAGAGAGAGAGAAAGCCACAGAACAAAACGGCTACGCAAGTATATGTAAGCACATCGCAGATTGGACGGCGCACACCCAGCCAATGATATGTTGATGGATATAAAGAGGTCACGGCCTACTCCCCATCCACCACCCTCACCCGGCCTCCCCCCCTCCATCCCTCTCTTATACCCGGCTTTGTGCATAGTGGGGGAATGTGACCTGGTTCTCATCCCAGAGGGTCTGTGTTAACCCCCTAAACTCTAGGCATATTATTCAGTTATTAGTTTCAAAGCAATGCTTTGGCAAAAAATCTGATTTACAGAATTTATCCCTTACAACAAATATCATCAATCAGCCAAGACACGTTTGACGTCCACAGTTTGCTTCTAGTTTCACCGTGGAGCTATGAGGCTAATGTAGCTAACAATGGAAGCTCATGTTCACCAGTTAGCATTGTGCTGCGCTGCATGCCTAAATCATCAAGCCCTTTGCTCGAACAGTGTTGAGTTGTTAAGCAGTCTAGCTTAAGAGGTTTCTGACACTGTTTAATGTGCTGTTTTCTATACAAATGGGCAACAGTACAAGCAAAATTCAGGCTTGAAGATTGCTAATGTTTTCATGTTCAACATAGTTTTTTCCAAAGCTTAAATCTAAAGGTTCACCCTTCAGATACCACCAGATATCATGTCTTGCTGACAGACTACATTTGAGGTAAGCAAAAATGTGTACATTGAATTTTTTAATTGCTTTTACATGTATTACCCAGTACCTGCTATGAATGTTTAACTAATATCAAACTACCATGTAAGGAATGTAGTAATAAGAGTGACAAAGGGACATTGGACCAACAGGTCAAACAGTTTAATGACGAGCTCCTCAGACGAACTTAAAGCACCCGCCGCCCCCAGCCTCTGCCTGGACGGTCAGTGGTTGTTGCAGAAAGACGCAAAAAGAAACCGAGCAGCTTCTCTTTGTGTTCGCCGGGCCATAACTTCACACGCTTGCTCACTATCACACGCCGTTCTGCTGAGTGGGTCAGTGCCCTTGACCGCTCCAGATCCAGAGATGTTTACTTTAAGGAGATGTAGTATAAACATTTGCCGTACGCAGCGGAGCAGTGGTGGCAGGCCTTTTCTGTTCTGTGCAACAAGTGGAGCCGTGGCTGTGTGAGTATGTGTGTGTGTGTGTGTGTGTGTGTGTCTTCATCAGAGGCGACAGCTTCGTACAATGGGACAAAGGATCTGCCAATCACAATCAAAAGGGAGAGGGAAGGCAGTCCTGAGGGGTTTGGGGAGGGGGTCCATGTGTGTCCTGCATCTACTGGGGGCTCCATAGTCCCAATGTGGGACGCAAGGGGGTTGGGAGTGTGGCCGAATTAGGAGGGGGGGGGCGGGGTGTGGTAGATTTGGGAAAATGAGGGCTAGGCTACTGGGTGTTGAATAGGGAACCTCTTTACTAATTGAGCGAATACAGGAGTTACAAATCTCATTAAACAGGACCATTATTCCTATCGCCCCATTATTAGAATGCAAAACAAGACAAACTATTATGTCATAAGCAGCCTATATTCATATTTTGACCCAGTCCTGGGAACAACTGTCATCGCAGAGTACTCACGCAACATTCACACACAAACAACAAGAAGACACACATGCCATCACAGTCATAGGCACAAACACAGGTTTGGTCACATGTGCTTGAGCTCCTATGGCTTTATGTTGCTTTGACTGCTATGAGAACATAGTTTTCTGTTGTTTTGGAAGGCAGACTTTACTGTGATGCCATAAGACCAGTTTTACAAGGATGGAGAGGGTTGACGAGGAGAGAGAGAGTGCAGGCCTGCGCCGTTATCTTTGGCATGCTGGTTGTCGGACGCATTCCTGGGGCGTCTGGTCGGTCCTCTCAGTGCCTGGGTCAGCTCTGGTTCAGCCCTCTGCAGTCTACTACTACATGCCTAGCATCTGAACAGCCTGCAGTATACATGCAGAGAGGGAGTGGTGTAATGACAGAAGAGTAGAGAAAATTTGTCCAAATTCGGGCCTCAAGGGCAAGAGTCTAGCACAGTTTGGTGACTTCCTTTCCCAAATACATCTACTAAACATGGCAAGTAATGGATGAGTTAAAGCAGGGAAATCACCAAATTGTGCTGGGCTCTAAGGCCCTCCAGTACCAGAACTGATGTGCTGGGTTAGAGCTTTAATCAGACCTAAAATTTTGATGCAAACATGAACATGTTATCTAACACCCAACCAGAACCAGTCTGAATCAGTATGAACCCAACTGTAGCCCAAAAGTTGTCTCAATCCAGATATAACCTGAGAAAATTCTGCCTGAATTCAGCAGCAATCAGAAAATATTCTGTCTGAACCTGCCTGTAACCTGAAAGTATTGTCTGAATCTGTCTGCATCCCAACAGAATTCTGTTTGACCTAACTTTAGCCTGACAAAATTCTAACTGTCTAACTGTATCCTGAGAAAATTCTGTCTGAGTCTGACTGTATCCTGAGAAAATTCTTTCTGAGTTTGACTGTATCCTGACAAAATTCTGTCTGAACCCGACTACAGCTTAACAAAATTCTGTCTGAACTCATCTGTAGCCCGATAAAATTCTGTCCAAACCCGACTACAGCTCAACAAAATTCTGTCTGAACCTGACTGTATCCTGATAAAATTCTGTTTAAACCAGCCCTTAACCCAACCATCATCAAGCAGAAACCGAATTAAACCTCACATTCCTAATGGGTTGTTAATATTCATGGCACACTGACGTAAGCAATGGAATGTGTTTAAGTCTTACATTTAAAAATGTTAAACTAAATCTTCCATTTCAATACAAAAGTCACCACAGCATCTCGCCTTTTGCGTCTTCTTCTGCAGTCTTTCAAACATGTTTGTGCTACATGTGAAGGATTGTGGGTGACTGAAGGTATTGAAGAATACATCAGATGAGTCCTTCAATTTCTTGCAAACAAAGGACACATTTCTGGGCCACGTTCAAAGGATCCTACAGAAAAGGACAGCCTTCAATGACATAAAGGCCAAGAAATGCTGCCTTCCTTCGTCTGGTCCCGCAAGACTAATTACACTAACATTGATTAGTGTTAGCTAGTGTTTATGTTAGTTTCAAGAGATTATGGTTTAATCCAATCATTTGCAATCAGTATTCACACATGAATTGGATGACAAAATGATCATACATGGCTAATTTTAGCTGACAGTGTAAATATCATATGGTTGATTGAGGTACCTCTTCACCATAGGGTTGTGGTGAAATATCTAAATGCATATTACCACAATTCCTCGACTGCCAGTAGAAAGCCTTGCACAATGGGTAAAGTTCAGAGGAGAAGTCTGGGAGTGCCTTTCTTTTCCAGAATAGGAACGCAGGGCCATCTTAACCTCTTTCCTCCACTGGAGTCAGAGACTGCTGCTATTGTAAGTTAGAAACACTGCTGGTGGAGCATATGTGTGATTCACTCAATCTTCTGAAGGCCAGGCCCATTAAACCAGTGATAAACTCCTGGAGGGTAATAAAGAGGTAGAACATCATGCTGTCTCTGCTCTGTAGGCAAAGAAAACACCTGGGAGGCATTACGGCCTGATTGAGAACTCCCCGGCTTGGACGCCAAGTCGTGAACACTCCAGGAGAAACAGCAGGGCTGCCACAGTGGTTTTGTGTGCTTGGCTGAAGAGCATATTATGATCTACTATACCATATTTTACATGTATTAGATCAGTACATCTTTTTATGTCTAATCATGTCTAACACAACCATTAATAGTTGTTTAACCTCTAAATCTTTTCTGTGGCCAATTTAAAATCTCTTTTCTGAAGGACTTTTATGAGATCAGATAGAAAGACACAGGGGACGTTTGCTTAAGTCTCCTGCTGCTCAGATGTTTCTCCTGAGCAAAGAAACTAGAAATATCACGTGTCTCCTATTGAGATTCAGCAGAGATCTCAATGAAGTCACACTGTGGGCTCAGATTTGCTAAAACAGTAACACTCGTGCTTATCTGCAACTGAATGCTCATTTGTCCTTAGAGATAAAGGAACTTTTGAGAAATAAAATTTTCCTCAGGGTCATTCCGGGAGGGTCTCCTTTTACTTCTTCTCTGAAACTGGTGTGATGGTAGGGTGGCGTGGTGGTGCAGTGGGTAGTGCTGTAGCCTCACAGCAAGAAGGGCCTGGGGTTGATTCGCTAGTTGGGTGACCAAGGTCCTTTCTGTGTGATGTTCTCCCCATGTCTGCATCGGTTTCCTCCCACAGTCCAAAGATATGCAGTCAGCAGCTGGATATGGGTCAT